TTTTTTTTTTTCTAATTTGTTCTCAATTATCTTACGCAAATTTTATTTGAATTCTGTTTTGATTCTTATCAGAGTTACATCTCTTCTCTTCAATCCGGCTTCAGTGCTTTTTCGAAATTCTTTGAATGTTCTTTTGTCCGTCGTTTATTCTTTCTTTCAATCGTATTTTTTATGTTTATTTTTAAACTGAAATAGGTGCCTTCTTTCTTACTTTTTCTCTCATTCATCGATATTTTTTTTTATTTCTTCTCTTTTTCCTCTTCTTTTTATCCCTCTCGATTCTTTCTTTTCTGTCTCTTTCTTCTTTTATGCTTCTTTTTTTTTTCTTGTCTTTGCTTTCTCTCCTCAATTTTTCTTCTCTCTTTTTAATTTCTTTCCATGTTTCATTTTTTTCTCATAGCCTCCTCTTGTCTTCCGTTTGCTTTCTTTTCCTCTTCTTTATTCCTTTCTTTTTTTTCTTTCTTTCTTTTTTGTTTTTACATTTTTTCATTTATCTTCATTTTATTATTTCTATCTGTCCATGTTTTTCACTGGGTTTTTTTTCGCTGTGTTTTTTTCTCATTTTCAATTATTCTTTATTATTCAATCATTCATTGTTTTTCTTTTCTTTATACTCGCTTAATTATTCTTTCCACTTCTATTCCATATTTCTTTATTCTCACTAGTATTTCTATATCACTATTGCACTTTAAGTTTCCATCTTTTTACCTTTCGTTTTTTCCCTTTTATTCTTATCACCTTTTTTCTCTAACTTTTCTTCTATTTGAACCATTTCTTCCTTTTCATTTATTGACTTCTTTCTTTCTTTCTTTCTTTCTTTCTTTCTTTCTTGCTCCCTTTCTTCACTTTTCATTAATTCTTGTTCTTTACTTCTTTCTTCATCTTTGAACAATATCTTTCTTTTCATTGCCTTTTGATTTTTCCCTCTCTTTGAATCATTTTCTCCATTCCGTTTATTTTCTTTCTTTCTTTGTTTTCTTCTCTTGTAAACATTTCTTCATTTTCTTCGTTTCCCTTTTTCCCCTTTCTAACCTTTTCTTTTTTTCCATTTCTTCTCTTTCTTCTTTTTTTCCTTGTTTTCCTCTCTTTTAATCCTTTCTTTCTTTTTCATATATTTTCTTTCTTTCCGTCTTTCTTTTCGTCTTTGACCCTTTCTTCTCTTTTCATTTATTGTCATTTTTCTTTCCTTTTCTCTCCTCCTTATTCTTTTCTTCAGTCAGATTTGTGTCTTAGGATTACATTTCGTTAAAAGCCTCATTAAAGAAAATACCCTTGAGTACTTCGCTGAGCCCTTCTACAGACTTTCAAGTAGATCATGAAACAGGAATGGCTCATGGAAAACCATCAGAGAAAAATGAAACATTATAAAAGCTATAATGACGTTAGTCTCTTTCGAATTCAGTGTTCACAAATAGAAACAAAATAATTTTTCTCTGGCGGGATTTCAATAACAGTGTTCATTGTTCATTTTATACCTTTTTCATTTGTACATATGACGATAAAACTTATTCCTGTACCAATGGTCTGCTAGATGAGCTTTCTAACTACTACGCATCAAGAAGACCTTATGAAAGAAAAGGTAATATGAATAATAGAAAAAAAACCGAAAAAACGTCAATAATATATTTGATCTCCTTCCTACCCACTCTCTCTTTCTGTCTCCCCTCTTTCTCTCCTACTCTCTCCAATTTCCCTTCAGGGAAAAGATTGAATATCGATCTCCTTATTTTTTTAACCGTAGTTACTCATTTCCGACTCGTTTTGTTTCCCATACGTAGGGATGTGAGGGTGGTGTAATGGATAGCGTCTTGTAATAAGAAATCGGAGATCCGAGTTCGACTTCGACTTCCAATGAGGTTCGTTATATCCAAGTACCTTGGGAAAGGTATGAATTAACCCCTCCCCCATCAGCTATGATTTAAATAATAGGAATTGTATCCGAAAAAAAAATCCTTATCTCCCCAAAATGGTTTATGGTTAATTATTCTTACAATCCAGAAAAATATCTTCCGCCTTTAACTAACGAACCAAAGGTTGATAATCCGTAAAAAACAAATCAGTTAATCAATCAAATCTCTTCTTCCTCACTCTTTCCCCTTCTCTCTCACTCTCTCTCTCTCTCTCTCTCTCTCTCTCTCTGGTGCATAGGTCTCCACAGTTTCTTTTGTTTTCGTTATTTTCAGCAATAATTACTCCTTTAAGACTTCATTTTGTTTTTGTGATACTTGGATTTGCTCAAATCTAGGAAGATGCGCCTTGTGGATATTAAATACTCAAAGCCTTTCTTCTTTCAAAAAGCTTTCGTTTGTATCTTTCAAATGTCCTTCATATCCTTTGTAGAATTTCTTCATTTGTCACATGATCTGTCCATGATATTCTAAAGATTCGTCAGTCTAACCACAACGCTAACGCTTCAAATCTTTTAATTTCTGATGAAATTCTCCAGCAAAACAGGAGGAAAAATGAATTGAATAAATAAAGGCAAATGAACAAAATCAAATAAAGAAGAAAGGAAAGGAAAAGAAAGAGAATAGGTCGACGGAAGTAGAAAGAAAGAAAGAAAGAAAGAAAGAAAGAAAGAAAGAAAGAAAGAAAGAATGTAAGTATGGAAGGAAGGGAAACACTAAATGAAGTAGATGCAAATAAATGATAAACCAAATGTAAAGAAAAGGAAATAAAAAACAAATAAATGAAAAAACAACGAAAGAAAACAGTAAACCCAAAAGAATGAAATGAATATAAAAGAAAAAGCAAATATAGGAAAGAAGAAAAAAAAGACAAACAAGCAAGAGGAAAGAAAAGAAAAGACAAAAAGAAAGAGAGAGAGAGTAAACGAAAAGAAAAAAAAGCAAAAAAAGCAACTAAGAAAGAAAAAAAAGAAAGAGAAAGAAAAATAAAAACAAAAAGAAAGAAAGAAAGGAGAAGAAAGCAAAATAAAGCCAAAAAGAAAGAAAAACAAGCAAAAATAAAACTAAAAAGAAAGAAAGAAAGAAAGAAAGAGAGATACAAACAAAAAAAGCGGAAAGAAAACCAATTAAGAAAGAAAGAAAGAAAGAAAGAAAGAAAGAAAGAAAGAAAGAAAGAAAGAAAGAAAGAAAGAGAGATACAAACAAAAAAAGCGGAAAGAAAACCAATTAAGAAAGAAAGAAAGAAAGAAAGAAAGAAAGAAAGAAAGAAAGAAAGAAAGAAAGAAAAGCAAGGAAAAAGAAAGAAAAGCAAGTAAGAAAGAAAAACAAGCAAAGGGGAAAGAAAAGCAAAATGAAAATGAAAGCCAAAAAGCAAAGAAAGAGAGAGACAAGCAAACAAAAGGAAAGAAAAGCAAGGCAAAGAAAGAAAGAAAGAAAGAAAGAAAGAAAGAAAGAAAGAAAGAAAGAAAGAAAGAAAGAAAAAGAATGCGAAACAAACAAACAAACAAAATGAAAGAAAAGTAAAAGAAATAAAGAAAGAAACAAAAAGAAAAACGAAAATCAAGTAAGAAACGAAGGAAGGAAGGAAGGAGGGAGGAAGAGAGAGAGAATGAGAGAGAGAGACAATCAAACAAAAAGAAAGAAAAGCAGAAAGAAATGCAAATGAGAAAGACAGACAAACAAAGAAGAGGAAAGAAAAGCAAAACGAAAATAAAAGCAAACAAGAAAGAAAGAAAGAAAGAAAGAAAGACAAGCAAATAAAAAGAATGCAAATAAGAAAGAAACAAATAATAAAAAGTATATAAAAGAAACGCGTCTGAAAATTACAAAGAAATGAAGAGAGAATCCACTTTAAATTTCATTCAAAAAGACGCGGAGATTACCATTCATTTACAGTCACTGAAGTATGTACTACCCCCACCACTTTTCCCTCCCTCCCTCTCTCTCTCTCTCCCTCTTTCTCTCTATCTATCTGTCTATCTATCTATCTCTCCCACGTCACTTATGTGTGTGTTCGCGGCGTTGTACAATCCCAAATCGGTGTCAGAGAGTTCCAAGGGATATAATCGACAACGGCCAAGAGTGATAGTGCCCGAAGCCTAGTCTCGTCACTAACACTGTTTTATTCTTACGCCTTCTCAAAAGACATTGAATCTTTGTTCGCTACTCGCCGCCGTCCGCCTCGCTTCATGGATGAGCAACCACTTGAAGCTTGAAGCTATCCGATCGCTACTTTCCACCCCTGTTCAGTCGGGACGCGCCGCTTCGAAATCGCGCCTCTTTCGCTTTCATCTGCTGCGACGACCTCGGGCAGAAGCGAACTCCTTTCTTTCTGCCTTTTATCTGCATTGCTCAGCGTCTCATCCTTTGTACGGCCGAGAAACTTTCATGTTATCCTCTCTCACTTACCCTAGCCCTCATCTGAACGACCGTAAACTGGCTTGTCATTAAGTAGAACATTTCACTATATTGCCCCATTGCTTCTGTTGCTCTTCCAATTAATTCTTACAACTTTTCATTAGTCCATTCTTTACAGTGAACTGGTCTATTTTCTCTCTGTCCTCTTGCAACTTCGATGCAACAATAGACCCGACACACCTACACTTTCTTTATTTCCATCTCTTTATCGATTATATGTCTTTCTTCACTTTTCTTCAACATTTCTTACTAAGTTTATATTCGTACATTTTATTCTAAGCCATATCTTATCAGAACGCAATTGATCATAGCTTTCCACATCTTTCTTTTATTTTAAATCTGTAAAACTTCCACGTAAAGTGCTAGGACGAACTACATTCCCTGCTCCCGCCAAATCAAACCTTCACAACAAGAACACGCCATGCCACTTATATCGTAACAAATCACCCACATTCCCCCCGTATTCCATCGGTGAGAAGTAAATTCCATTCAAGCAGCTTTTTCCCACGAACCACTGCCCTGTGGAACTGACTCCCAACAGGATGTTTCACCGATCACTACAATCTTAACCTGTTCAAGGCTCAGGTTAACCGTTATCTTCCACTCATAATGGCCTCCTAACGTACTCCTCTACCTTGAGTGCCCCTCCCCCGGCCCTTTAAAGGGCGAAAAATGCATTGTTATCAGTATTCTTGCGAAAGATAGTAGATTGATTTCCTGTTGTCTTCACTACAGGTACCGACTCCGGAGTTGTCCATCTGGTTGACCTAACAAGGCTAATTCTGACAGTCTGCCCTACAGATAAACGTAAAGGTGAGTGTGAAGAATAGTATGTCTTTCCCAAACATCAGAAAGAGATAGCTGACATTTGTGTTGCGCATAATGAGGAGAAAGACGGCTTGGAAAAAATGACATTCACAGGACAGATAAGATGGGAAGAGGGTAACAGCAAACAAAAAGGAAATGAAAGCCAAAGAAAGAGAGACAAGCAAAGAAAAAGAAAGAAAAAGAAAAGAAAAGACAACAAGAAAGAAAGATTGAAAGAAAGAAAGCAAGAATGAAAGACAAACACAGAAAAAAAAGTAAAAAGAAAATGCAACAAGGAAGAAAAATAATGAGGAGAAAGACGGCTTGAAAAATTTGACACTCACAAGACAGACAATATAGAGGGAAACAGAGATGAATTTACTTAGCGAGTTTGTGTAAATAGATGGTAAATAGTGAAAAGAGAAACATTGTTAAGAGCTAAAAAGAATAGGAAGTCGTGAAGTGTCATGATTACCTGTATCCTAAAGGGATAAAGCAAATAGAAGAAGTACGTGGTAGGTCAATTCCTTTTTTCATGTCGATTACTCTAAGTTAGTACACAAGTCAAAATAAGAAACAATGGATGGAGGAAAATACGTTGCACGACTATTATATGGCGAAAATCTTGAATGATTTTGAAATTCAGAGTTCGCAAAACTCAACGAGGAAGACGTAACTTTTTTTTAACTCGGCGAGGAAGAAGTAACTTCTTCAGCGAGGAAGATGTTACTTTTTTTAACTCGGCCTGGAAGACGTAACTTCTTTTTTTTTTATCTCAGCGAGGAAGTCGTAACTTCTGTTTTTTTTTTGTTTTTTTTATCTCAGCGGGTAAGTCGTAACTTTTTTTTTTTTTAACTCAACGAGGAAGACGTAACTTTTTTTAACTCAAGGAGGAAGACGTAACTTTTTTTTTTTTTTAACGGCGAGGAAAACTTAACTTTTTTTAACTCGGCGAGGAAGACGTAACTTTTTTTTTCTCAGCAAGGAAGACGTAACATTTTTTTTTAACTCAGCGAGAAAGACGTAACTTTTTTTTTTATTTTAACTCAACGAGGAAGACGTAACTTTCTTAAACTCAGCGAGGAAGGCGTAACTTCTTTTTTTTTTTTATCTCAGCGGGGAAGTCGTAACTTTCTTTTTTTTTAACTCAACGAGGAAGACGTAACTTTTTTTAACTCAAGGAGGAAGACGTAACTTTTTTTTAATCGGCGAAGAAAACTTAACTTTTTTTTATCTCAGCAAGGAAGACGTAACTTTTTTTTAACTCGGCGAAAGAAGACGTAACTTTTTTTTATTTTAACTCTACGAGGAAGACGTAACTTTCTTAAACTCAGCGAGGAAGGCGTAATTTCTTTTTTTATCTCAACGAGGAAGACGTAACTTTTTTTTAACTCAACGAGGAAGACGTAACTTTTTATTAACTCAGCTAGGAAGGTGTAATTTTTTTTAACTCTGCGACGAAGACGTAACATTTTTTTTATTCTCAGCGAAGAAGACGTAACTTTTTTTTAACCAAGCGAGGAAGACGTAACTATCTAAATCCATGTTACACTTCTGTAGGTTCTCGTTCATTCTTTTTCTTCTAAGCGCCGTCTCGCTTCAGGATGATTGCGATCATGGCTCTCCACAACTTTCTGTCTCTTATAGCACTTAGTAAATTTTAACATTTCTCTGTCTCTCATAATCTCTGTTCTGCCAAACGTTCAAACAAGCTCGTTAGGCAGTGGTTATGCACTGCTTTCCTCTGTCCCACTATGTCCTGTGAGGATCCAATTTTCCAAACCCTCTTTTCTCATTATGTGCTCTAGATATTTCAACTGTCTCTTTCTGATGTTAAATATGTGTTGTTCTTTTTGTTTCCATTTTCTGTATTGCTGATACGTTCATTCCGTGGTATTCTCAGCATCCTTCTGTAGAACCACATTTTTATTGCCTCATGTCACTTTTTGACCTGTGTTGACATTGTCCAGCTTTCACTACCAATATAAGAGGACTGATATTATGTAACAGTTTATTACTCTTTTCTTTATTTCTGACGAAATTTTCCTGTTTCTTAATACTTTGCTTAGTTTTTGGAAGGCATCTTTCTGTATCCCAATGCGCCTTCGAATTTCGTTTTCTACCGTTCTTTGTGACATTATTTATTTTGTCTTTCTTTATATTCAATAAACACAGATTGGTACGTTATCCAATACCTACGAAAAGAAAATTTTGTTATAGTAAACATCTATGCGGAAAGCCAATTGAACCTTTCTTTATTATTTTCTTTCTTTCTTTCGCTACGCTCTGGCTATATATTTTTCCTTTTTTTATTAACTCTTTACCCTTTCTTTCTTTCTTTCTTTCTTTCTTTCTTTCTTTCTTTTAACTTACCTTTTCATCAAATCTTTTCCAAGTCTCGTTATGTCTTTCTTTCTTTCCTTCTTCCATTCTTTCTTTATTTCATCTTGCTCTGTGAATGTCTTTCATCCTTTTCATCAAACTTTATCATGTGTCGTTCTTTTCTTTATTTCTTTTTTCTTTCTTTCAACTTTCCTTTTTATCAAAGCTATTAAGTCATGTTGTCTTTCTTTCTTTCTTTCTTTCTTTCTTTCTTTCTTTCTTTCTTTCTTTCTTTCTTTCACCTTGCCCTGTGTATGTCTTTCACACTGTTCGTCAAAGTCTTATCATGTGTCGTTCTTTCTTTCTTTCTGGCTTGCTTTCTTTCTTTCAAAATTGCACCGTTTACGTCTTTTTTTTCATCAAAGATTTAGCAAGTCTTGATCATTCTCTTTCTTTTACTTTCCGATGTGCGTGTCACGATTTTACCAAGTTAGTCTTGTTCTTTGTCGCTCTTTTTCTTTCTTTCTTTCTTTCTTTCTTTCTTTCTTTGCTTGCTTTTCTTTCTTTCAAAATTGCACTTTTTACGTCTTTCTTTTTTTTAGCAAAGATTTAGCAAGTCTCGATCATTCTCTTTCTTTCACTTTCCGATGTGCGTGTCACGATTTTACCAAGTTAGTCTTGTTCTTTGTCGCTCTTTCTTTCTTTCTTTCTTTCTTTCTTTCTTTCTTGCTTGCTTGCTTTCTTTCAAAATTGCACTGTTTACGTCTTTTCTTTCTTTTAGCAAAGATTTAGCAAGTCTCGATCATTCTCTTTCTTTCACTTTCCGATGTGCGTGTCACGATTTTTACCAAGTTAGTCTTGTTCTTTGTCGCTCTTTTCTTTCGTTCGTTCTTTCTTTCTTTCTTTCTTTCTTTCTTGCTTGCTTGCTTGCCTTTCTTTCAAAATTGCACTGTTTACGTCTTTCTTTCTTTTTAGCAAAGATTTAGCAAGTCTCGATCATTCTCTTTCTTTCACTTTCCGATGTGCGTGTCACGATTTTACCAAGTTAGTCTTGTTCTTTGTCGCTCTTTCTTTCGTTCGTTCTTTCTTTCTTTCTTTCTTTCTTGCTTGCTTGCTTGCTTGCTTGCTTGCTTTCTTTCAAAATTGCACTGTTTACGTCTTTCTTTCTTTTTAGCAAAGATTTAGCAAGTCTCGATCATTCTCTTTCTTTCACTTTCCGATGTGCGTGTCACGATTTTACCAAGTTAGTCTTGTTCTTTGTCGCTCTTTCTTTCGTTCGTTCTTTCTTTCTTTCTTTCTTTCTTGCTTGCTTGCTTGCTTGCTTGCTTGCTTTCTTTCAAAATGGCACTGTTTACGTCTTTCTTTCTTTTCATCAAAGCTTTAGCAAGTCTCGTTCATTCTCTTTTTTTCTTTCTTTCATCTTCCGATGTGCATATCACAGTAAGTCTTGTTCTTTCTTTCTTTCTTTCTTTCTTTCTTTCTTTCTTTCTTTCTTTCAGCATTGCTCTGTGCACGTATTTTTTCTTGCCATCAACGCTTTACCAAATTTCATTTTACTTTCTTTCTTTCATTTCTTCTTTTTTCCTATTAATCTTCTTCTTTAAATCACTTAAATCTGCTTCTAATATGCACCTACCCACTTACTCTCTAAGTATACGTCAAAAGCTTGGCCACTTTTTTTTTCCTTTTCATCTGACCCTTTCTTGCCTGTCCACCACATATGAATTGATATCACTTCGATCAGTCAGAAAACCCCACCCATATTCGATCTTCAATCGTCATCATTTTAGAAATTAATATTCGAACTATCGACTCTGTAATTTAGATTTTTCATCACTGAGAATCTCCTCTTGTTAATGGTGTCTGCTTTCATGTCGGGTTTCAACTAAGAGTAACAATCATGAAATTTATTGTTCTTTCTTGCTTTCCATTTTCTCCACGATTTTATTCTTACTCTTCTGCTATCTTTTTATATTTATTCATCCACCAGTCTTTTCATTATCTATCTATCTATCTATCTATCTATCTATCTATCTATCTATCTATATATCTATCCTAGTCCGTTTATTATATATATCTAGCCCAGTCTGTCCACTATCTATCTATCTATCTATCTATCTATATATATATATATATATATATATATATATATATAGTTAGTTAGTTAGTTAGTTAGTTAGTTATTTTATGCAAAACTAGGTAATCCGTATGGGTAGACCCAAGGAGGATGATATCCAGAGAGCTCAATGTAAATTCAGAGCAACAACTTTTGGAAGTAAAAGTCTGATGATCCAGAGCCCTTTAAAAGGGTTGTGGTGAAATAACTTATTACATGGAACCTTAAAGTGGTCTGTTTTTATTCAAACAAATATATATATATATCCCAGTCTGTTTATCTAGCCCAGTCTGATCACTATCTATCTATCTGACTAGACAGTCTATTTCATTATATATCTTTCTTTCTTTCTTTCTTGCTTTCTTGCTTGCTTTCTTTCTTTCAAAATCGCATCTATCTATCTATCTATCTATCTATCTATCTATATATATATATATATATATATATATATATATATATATATATATATATATATACACACTTCAGACGGGTTCGAACCTGCATTTCTCTTCATAAGAAAAATCACTTCAGGCCCCTTGGTCACACAGAGCCTCTCAGGCCAGCATGTGTTTGTGTGCACATTTCATGTACACTGTTTAAAAATATTGCAAACACGTGTATCCATTAAAAAATATATTTAATCATTTTCATATTTATCAGTCGATATATAGATAAATATAAAATGTATAAATATAAATCTATTTGTCTAATTCTCTCTCTCTCTCTCTCTCTCTCTCTCTATATATATATATATATATATATATATATATATATATATATATATATATATATTCGTTTTGTTTACGGCATATGAACCTCACTGGGCTATTTAATGCCGACAAAATGTTTATTTCTGGTAATATTTTTCTTCAAAAATGTATAACCGGTAATATCTTTTATTTTCCAAAAGGTATTAAAATTTATTTTTACACTTACATAGTGTTTTGACCTCAGTTTAGGGGTTAGCTATTTACCCATAGTTGGGAATCTAACAGGTGCCACCACCACGGGTCAGGGTGAACCTGGGAACACCAGCAATTAAGAGGTGGTTCCACGTTCCTCAAAACCTCCTGATCAGAGGCCTTGCTGTTGGACGTAGTTTATCGTCTTACCCAGAACGCGGATGTAGCTTATCGTCTTAACCAGGACGGTGTATAAATATGATCTATTTGACTAATTATATATATATATATATATATATATATATATATATATATATATATATATATATGTCACACATTATGAAATGGACAAATCCGACAATTATTTTAAGACATTTTATGTTTATACATTCTTTTTATAGATACAAATATTTAAGTAAATGCTCTGTTTATAATAAACAGTATTAAACAACATTTACCGGCCTGAATGTCCGAGAAATTTTCACAGAAAATATTTGTCTTCCGACAGGATTCGAACCTGTATCCTATACGGAACCGTCATTTAGCTTGACGTGCCTTTACCGATTTGGCCACAGAGGAGCGTTCGGTTAGCAAGGTCGAATTTACTGTATTTAAACTTCAATCTTCCATGAATCTCTCACGTACATTCATATCTGCTCATGGCGTATCAAATGTAAACAAATGACGTCACACATTATAAAAAGAATGTATAAACATAAAAATGTCTTAATATATATATATATATATATATATTAATAATTTCACCGCAAGCAAGGTCATAAAACCACTAAGAACCCATGAGTTTACTTAGTGTGTGAGAAACGAGAAAACGTTATTGAGGAGAGAGGACGATAAAAGGACAGGGTTCAATGGACCAGAAATAAAAATTATGAGACCTAACGGCCAATCTAGTCTATTTCTTCTTTTATGTTCGGTGTCCCTTCTTGATGCAAGCGATAAAGGACCTCCACATCTTCCTTTAGCTCTTAATAACTTTTGTCTTTTTGTTATTTCACCCAAATCCTATTCTGCCATCCATTTGCTCAAAGCCGTCAAGTACGTTACGCCTGCATTTCTCTGTCCCTCTTTCCCTCAATCTGTCCAGTGTGTATCAGATTTTTCAAGCCCCCCCCCTTCCTCATTATGTGTCCCAGAAATTTCAACTGCCACTTCCTGATGTTAACTATAAGTTTCCGTTTTGTTTCCATTTTCTTCAAGACCTCGATGTTCCTCACGTTTTCGGCCCAGGGTATCCTCAGCATCTTTCTGTAAAGCTATATTTCTCTTGCTTCAAGTCTCTTCTTCATCTTTGAGGAGATTGTCCAACACACGCTGCCATACAGGAGGACAGATATCACATAACATTTCGATAATTTTTTTTTCTAACGAAATTTTTCTCTCTCTTAATACTCTGCTCAGCTTTTGGAAGGCATCTTTGCACATCGCAATAAGTCTTCGTATCTCAGTATCGCACTTTCGGTCCTGTGTTAAAACACTTCCAAGTAGATAAAAAATAAACGCAATATCTTTAACTCTATGAGATTAATAGGCAAATATGGATTTAATTAATAATTCCTCAATTTTCCTTCAAAATGCCAATAATATTCATACTTACTTTTGGTATACAGGCTTACCCAGTTCTGTACTATTTCGTATGGGGGTGTAATCGCGAGGAAAGTCAATCAACGTCCCCATAACACTATAAAATTTCTGTCCGGTTCATGATATCGTCAGCATCTTTCTTATTGCTTCAATTCTCTTTATCGTCTTTGAGAAGATTGTCCAGCATTCGCTGCCATATTGGAGGACAGATATCACGAGTTCAATATTGTTTCCTTGTTTCTAACGTGATCTTTCTGTCTCTTAATACTCTGCTTAGTTTTTCGAATGCATATTTGGCCATCCCAATAAGTCTTCGGATCTCGGTGTCACACTTTCTGTGCTCTGTTAGAACCAAGTTTCAAGTCTCTTCCTCATCTTTGAGGAGATTTTCCAACATTCGCTGCCATACAGGAGAACAGATATCAC